CAGAGCCACTAATGATACTGGAAAATGTGTTACGTTTGTTCTTCATCTTTGTAGTAGCCTTTGAAGATGATTGGTCCTCTTACACAGATTTCACCACGTGGGTATGGTTGATCCTCTGATGTGTAATTCATTTCGGGAACATCCACAAGTTTTACCTCTGAAGAACAAACATTTTCAAAACACAAAACCAGTCATACATATTGGATTAAAAGGTCTTGCCAAGATTTAGATTCTGATATAATTTTCCTTGTCTTTTAAGTAACACAATGCTTACCACACGCTGGATTAGGGGATCCGACATGACCAGATAAATTGTCACCATCATCCATAGCGCTTATGACACAAGAAGTCTCGGTCATACCATACCCTTCACGCACCGAACATCCAAAGCATCTGTACATTATGATGACCAACGACAATATTTTCTTTGTTGAATTAGTTTCAGATTCTTAGAAATCAGTAAGAGTGGAATGAACAGAAGAAAAAGTTCAACGGAGAAAACGGAAAAGAAAACTTACACTCTCAAGAAATCCATGACATCGGGTGACAATGGAGAAGCACCAGACCCCATAAAGCGAACCCGTCCACCAAGCTTTTCTTTTATTTTGTTGAAGACCAGTTTGTCCCAAAATGCAGAAGGATTCCGTCCTGAAGAAACCACACATGAGAAAGACAGATATAATGGAGAAAGCTTGAAACAGGTATACTCGGTTCACTTTTTAACTGTTTCTATTAGCAGACAATACCATTTATGATCGCTTGCTTCTTTGAGTTATAGGCAACTTGAAACAGCCTTTGTTTAATAACCCCAGATGATTTTACGGCACTTGTGATTCTGTGGAGATTAAAATTAGCACATAGAACCACAGAGTTCCACAATAAGTAATTTACATGGGAATCATAAGAGTGATTTTACCCATCATATATTCGATTATATAAGCGGGGGACACTACAGAATATTGTTGGCCTTAACACAGCAAAATCATCCATCAGCTTCAGGACATCCTGTCAAAGAAGTGTATATATATACATTAGTCTGATTTCGTACCACATGTTAATCTCATATGTCACAAGACATGAGTTTACATACCCCCTGATAGAAACCGACAGTAACACCACCATACACCGCCATAATCTGATTTGCACGCTCATATATGTGCGCCAAAGGAAGATATGATATGTAACTAAAGATAGAAGACATCTGAATTAGAGATTCTTCCATTATAAGAACATATGTAAAACTATGTGTGCCACTTCTGAAGGGAAATGTTCAACTTACACATCTGAAGGTAAGAATTCTGCTTCCACACTGGAACCGGCGACATTTGCAATCAAGTTTCCATGAGTCAACACAACACCCTTCGAAACAAAGAACATATGAAATCAACTATATAGTTGCGTATTTAGCTTTAAAGTGATTCATGTACCATTCAAGAAGAAAAACTGGAAACAACTCACCTTTGGTGTTCCTGTGGTTCCACTTGTGTAGCATATGGTTGCAATGTCTTCAGGTTTTGGAGGGGAAAATGGATGTAAGCTACTTCGACCCTAAAAGATAACCAGTAGCAACATGAAGTCACTTTAACTACCAAGCAAAAGCCATTACATGAACAAAGACATTTACAGTTGCTATAACATAATGACCATTCATAAAGCTAATAATGAAAAAGATAACAGCATACATTTAGTTAAAACCGATTGTGGAACGCTACCTGAGTCAAAAGCTTTTGGTATGATACAATATTGACTCCAGATCCTTGAGGAAGTGATGGCAAATGCTCGTCCGCCCCTCCCACCACCTTAGCACAGTGTAAAACATATTTATAAGTGGAAGTATATATTTTAGCTTACAGTGAAATTACACATTGAAGAAGTATATACCACAATGAGACGAATGGATGGGATTTCCGCTAGGAAGCTTAGCAACTGCATAGTCCCCGACAAAAAGAAAAACACAATTTTGACTACTTGAGTGATTCTCAAAAGATAATAGGCCTGCACATTAACAAACCAAAACACACTTACAATATTCAAGGTTTGTGGTACACAAAATATAGCCTGCAGAGTAGCATGATTCACCACAAACTTAACAGCGTCTGGACCTGCGTAACCAGGAAAATCATATTACGAAGAGACAAGGCTTGCAAAACCCAAAAACTAAAGAGAAAAATTCAAATTTAGATTGGTTACCAAGTGTATCGTATAAAGGAACAGAGATAAATGAATATGCTGCACAAGCATGATCCACAACCAACCACTCTGGTCTGTTAATGAAATAGAGTCCAACGCAAGCTCCCTGTTCCATCAAATGAAGACACTTTTTCTTTTAAAAAAGGCGACATATGGGTCGATAAAACAAGAACCTGGCTGATAAAATCAGCTGGAATAGAGAATTTTGATGCAGCTGCATAAGTTTTATATTGAACACATTCACTTACTTGGTTAATTCCATGAAACAGGAGTCCTGAACCTATGGCTTGTCGTTCAGAAGCTGTTTCTGCATATGTCATCCATGAGTACCTTCAAAAAAACATATCACAGAAACATAAAAACCTACCTAAGCTCAAAACTTTTTTAAAATCTTAATACAAAAGAACAGCTTTTTAAACTCACTCTCCAATGGTTCCATCGGACCGAACTCGTGTACCAAGATACTTGTTTTGAGGATATGTTTCAACAGCATATCTGATTCCACATAAATGTAATTCATCATTAAGGTCACAAAACTAAACCAATCAATTAAACTAACAACCTCAAAGAAGTAATCATCAAACTTACACAAAATTGTCATGTAAAGTCCCGATTTCAGGATGATCCGGGAACCTGCTAACGAGTTTCGTAGGCGACTTTGCAGATCTGACACAACAAAAACAGAGAATTACACCATAATAATCATAAATCACACTTGTGATGAAAAAACAAACGTAACAACAAAGAAAGGATTTTTTTTTTTCTGTACCTGTAGACATTCCATTTTCCAGTATCAAGCTTCTCTGGAAGCACAACACTGTAGCCATCCTCTAAAGAAAACGTTTCTCAAACTCAAGAAACAGAGAAATCTTCAAAACATGGAGAGACTAAAAGATTATTTCAGGTTCTTACTGTTTAAGAAAGGTGAAGCAGAAGAAGCAGTGGCGTTGAGGAAGAGAGATGATTGATCGTCGGCCGGAGAAGTATCGAAGTGAGATCGAATGGTTTCGAGACGACGTTGTGCCGGCGAAGCAAATTCCATCTTTTCTTCTTTCTCGACAAAATTTTTTTTGAGTAATACGAAATAAACCGATTAATTCAATAGTACCATTTTATAAAAATTTAACTCAAAGACAATGACGTCACAAATCTACTATATATAGTAAAAAAATTATAAACGGAATAAAATAATCGAATATGAAAATGAGCATATGTGAATATTGTGGAATTGACTTGTAATGATGCTACGGCTATAAATTCCCTAAACTACATATTTTGGATAGACGTTAATCATGTTTTCCATTTTTAATTTTTTATAAACAGCTTACCAAAAAATAGATCATTGTATAATATATGTACTTTTTCTCACATATTGCTTACGTCAAATAAGGCACGCTTTTCTATGTGGATAATTTACCATATTATCAATAAAACTATTTAAAATGTCCATGGAGTTAAAACTTAAAAACCATGTTGGGTTATTAAAGAAGAAGTAAAGAGACGACTATACTGTTTTGTTTGGCATTGTCAGTAGAGCTGTCAAATGGGCTTTGGGACCATGGACTAGACCGGTCCAAATAAAAATGGTCTTATTTTGGTCAAGCCCAAAATGAAAATGGTTAATATGGACTAAAAACCAATTAGGCCCGTACGTAAATGGTCCGAACTTATTTGGACATGGGCTGTCCAACAATCATTAAAAATTAGGGTTATGAATATTTGGGGGAAAATTAGATCTGCAATCAAAATCTCATTTCTCAAATTTCTTTCTCTCTCTCTCGATTTTAGACGATCTCAGAGACGATCTCGGATTTGAGGCTTGGTGGGTTCCTTCGTCTCTTCTTCTCTTCTCTAAGTTGGTTTTTTGAAAAACTTTTCTGGGTTTGTGTTGATTCACGATTTGTGTAACTGTGTTTATGGGTTTGTGTTGATTTGTGTTTATGGGTATGTACGTTGATTTGTGTTTATGCGTATGTACGTTGATTTGTGTTTATGGGTTTGTGTTGATTTGTGTTTATAATTACTCTGTTGCTCTTGCTCAGCTCTTGTGTTTAATTATAGAGTCTTATCAAGCATGACGTTCTCTACCTTGTGTAGCTCTAGTCTCAGAATTTTTAGCTTCTGTAGCTCTAATTTTTAGTACGTTGATTTGTGTTTTTTTTTTGTTTTAAATCAAACAGGTTCTTGCTTCTTTCTCTTCAGATTCTATCAAAAGGAGTAATCAGTTTATTAAATTGACTGAATCTTTGATTTAATGGTTGTAATTGCAGATCCAGAGGAGGACGAAGAGGAGAAAGAAGAGGAGAATTAAGAAGCTTAAGATTGTTGCAATTGGTCATGTTAAACTTTTTGGATTATTGTTTTGTTAAACTGTTTTTATGATGTCTCTAATTACAATGTTGGTCTTAGTCATTTTGGATTATTGTGATGTTAAACTGTTTTTCTCTGTCCATGGACATATTTATTTGGTCATGGTCATTTTTGGACTTGGTCACTTTTGGGCTTGGTCACTTTTGGGCTTGGTCATTTTTTTCAACAAAAAAAAAGTGTCCAACTGGACAAGATCATTTGGTCATGGTCAAGACCAATTGACAGCTCTAATTGTCAGAAGCAAGAACATGAATCTTGAAGCAAACATGTAAATTGGTTATGCTGATGAAGTTCCCTGTTACGTTTGGCTGCAACACAGAAGATGAACCAAATTCTCAAAAAACCAGCAAAACGGAAACGTCTCCATCATAGCTTATATAACAGAAGATAATACATTGTATCAACTCTCTCATTCATAGAATCTGCATTTTAGCTACAGAAACTGACTTTTGGGTTGATTCCGATTAAATTCGAGAGCATAGAAGGAACAGAACTTTTTACGAGTACAAAGATATACTCATCATGATGTAATAGCATACAAAGATATACAGTGTACCCTTTGGTGACATTTCTAATACCAAACATTTAAACAGTATAATACTGCAGAGAGGATATCATCTTCACATTGATTTCATGAACCTGTTAATGGATGAGAAAATTCCAGCAGCTTGACTCAATAAAGATGACCCTTCTTCTGATTTCTCTTCTACGCCCCCATATATTATCTGCGAAAATGAAACACTTAAATCAACGAAACTGCAGCGAATATGTAACTAGGATTTGCAGCCAAATCTTTTCAGTGCAGGTAAGAATTAGTCAATTCAATAGACATAGGAATCAAATCTAGTACTCAATTAACCTCAAGATCCTCAGCATCAGGCCGACCAATGAGTTCTTTGGCGAGTAGGTACCGGCCTGGTCTGTCTTTATTATCATAGAAGACTTTCCATTTACTAGAAAATAAATTAAGGATAGAAAATGATCAGCTTGTAATCGTTAAACTACATTTACATTGACTTAATCAGATAAGAAAAACCAAGTCTGAGTCTTACCCAGGATAACACCTGAAAACAGCACCAGCAGCCAAAGGTCTCATAGAGTAAACCGTAGTAAAAGAACTATAAGAGCCAAAGTGAAAAGAACAGTTATTGATGTTAAAGGCAATAACCTTGTCAAGTCTCATTAAGGATTTTGCCTTTTACCTTAGGAAGTACCGCCTTAGTTTTCTCACGTTAAACCCAACCCCGACTTCCTCGCTTATAAGACGAGGGTTCCACATAATGAGAGGCCTTGGCTTGAAAGAACACAAAGAAATGTCTTCTTGATGTTAGAACTAAAGGTTCTTGGTAAAGTCAAAATTAAGATTTGACAGATTTAGTTACCGGGTCATCAGCAAGCCCTTTTGCAATTTTCTCAACATATTCCAGCATTTGGTAGTCAGGAACAACCATGACAATGATCTCATCTTCTTTCTCCACTGGTTTCCTGTCACTTAAGCTGCATCACAACAAAGAACATGACTGCATTATTATTCCTTTTCACAGACTTTGCTAAACTAAGACTATTAAGCTCTCAGGATGAAGCAACCTTACCTAGCAAATCCAAACGTTGCATCTTTCCACCGGTATTTTAGCAATGCAGCGGCTCCAGCATCTGGAAATACGGCTTTAACTCTCTGGCAACAACATTTCAAAACCACTATGATTTATTGACTGACTCAGATCAAAGGTTTCATGTAAAGTGGTTATTTCGCAAACTGTTTCAGCTCACCTCACAACCTGTTTCTTTAATGAGAGTCTCCAAGAAAACCCGCGAAAGGTCCCAAAGTTCAGCTTGTGCACCTTCATCATCTAAAAACTGCAGCTGAGGAATCAAAAGCTCCACCTGCAAGATTTCAGAGTCAGAATCAAGTGAATGAATCTGATGCCAAATCTCATTCTTTCCCAACAAAGATTACAGCCTTTTATTCAGTAGCCCTTACGATAGCTCTTGTTCCTCCTGAGTTCACAAACGCAGCACCTGCTTCACCTGACTGCCTAACAGCTCCTTCCAAATCATTAGGCAAACAGCTGAAAAAACAGTAACAACAAAGACATCATTTTTAGCCTTATGTTCCCTTAATGTTCCAATAGACACACAAAAATTGTAACTTTGAATCGAATTCAATGGTTGTTCCTTCATAATGATCACAAAAACAGAAGAAAACCCAATTCACAGAACAAAAAGTGTAATCGAATAAAGAAACCAAATGGACAAAATTACTGAACTCATCGTCTTCTAGTTGGTCTTGAGCTTCTTCTTCTAATGGTAGTTCCTGTGAAACAGAGGAAGTAGAAACTGATGTGGTCTGTTCAAGAGGAGAGTCACCCTGAAATTTCTCGAATTTGACACATGTTCTTAGTCTTGAATTGGTAGAAGAAGCAGAGAAGGCACAAAAGAGAGAACCCGAGAAAAATTGGGTGGTGGAGAACGAACAACGATGGAGATAGCCATGGAAACAGCTTGGTACTGAAGAATAAGCCATGTCAAGCCTCTGGCAAATCCTGATAATCGAAATTAAAGTGGATTTTACTCAAACAATTGGAACACAGGGGTGTCTATGTTAAATTCTTATATTTGGGGTTCTTTTACGAAGATACTAAAAGTTCAGGGGTTTTTCATAATTTGTGAAAACTTTTATCCCTTCTCTGTTGGTGGAAAAGCGTTTGAAACTTCAAGTGAAAAAGGAAGGATCCGTTTCGGAAACCTGGATCCGGATCCGGATTCTGACGCTCCTCTTCGGTGAAGAATGGTAATAAAATATAGACGTTACAAAGGTTCTTTAGATCCAACGGCTCTTATTCTCCTAAATTCAAATTCGTCCCATTTTACCTACACGCCCTTCTCAATCTCTCTCTAACTTTCTCTAGCTCTCTTAATCTCTCTCTCTCTCTTGTTCTCGCTCTCTCTCGCTCTCTTTGATTCAAAATTTCGGATTCTCGTTCTTTGAGTTCTTTAGGCACAAATCCGCCATGGAAGGAGGTACTATACTTGTTTCTGTCGTCGAACTTCTGATTATGTTCTTACAGATTCGTGATTTTCTTGATTGATCTGGGGTTTTTTGATTCGTTTTCTTTGAATGTTTCGCTGATCATCTACGGTTTTTGCCAGATCAACATCAAGAAATTTGCAACGATGGTGTTTTGTCATGTGAATCGAAGGAAGTTTCTGTCAATAATCACAATTCCGACGCTGGTAAGGGTTTTTTCTTGGGTTTTCTCGTCGTGAATTGAGAATTTAGTAGAGAAATTATAAGTCCTTCGGTTGTGAATTGGTAGTCTCTGATTGTAGATATCGCAAACCTTTATTTTTCTCAAGAGAATCCGATTAGGTTTTAGCATTTTGTTTGGAATTTAGAAAGATTGGTTCTCCTTCAATTATCAACGATTTAGGTTTTGGGTCCTATGAATCTGAAACTCTGTCAAAAAGTAGTACTAAAGTGATACTTTGTTTAGTAGACTATAGTATGTATCTTCAGATTCACTTGCTTCTTTGACTCTAATATGATGCATTACTGATTTGGCTGAAATAGTGGAAGAAAGTGAGGATTCTATTACAAGTGGAAACCAACAACTTTCTCCTCCCAGTGGACCAACACTTCCAATTTTGCAGAAAATTATCGACTGCAGTAACAAAATTAAGGTACTACTTTCTCTTGAATAAACACAATTACAATTGTTCCTTTTGAATTGCAATTGTAAGATGAACTTAAATGTGAATTTTCCAAAGATTTGCTTTCAGTCCCTTTCTTCTACCAGTGTTTTATGTTCACCCTTTCCATATCATGTCGTAGGTCTTGAAGGATGAACATGTGTTGGTATCAAACCAAGTGCAAGAGATCAAGAATTGTTCCTTTGTAGAACCAGAATTTTCAAGGGCTCTCCAGCTTCTCAGTCAGTACTTTGCATCTGATTTCTTCGACAAAGATTGTCTAAATACAAAACTTGTTTGCTTTGGTTGTAACTGATATGCTTCAACGTGTTTAATGGCAGCTACTAAGCTTGGAACTCTGGAAAAACAGTACTTGGAAGAGTCATCAGAGAGGAAACGATTATACAATGAAGTGATCGAACTCAAGGGAAATATCAGGGTCTTTTGCAGATGCAGGCCTCTAAACCAAGCTGAAATAGCAAATGGTTGTACTTCTGTAGCTGAGTTTGATACAACACAGGAAAACGAGCTCCAGATACTTTCATCTGATTCCTCCAAGAAGCATTTTAAGTTTGACCATGTTTTTAAGCCTGAAGATGGCCAAGGTATATTGAGACGTTACCTTTGCAACTTTATTTGGCTTAACCTTTTCTATTGGAACACTACACCAACGAGTCATCTAATCTGACTGTACTTCCATTTGCAGAGGCTGTTTTTGCACAGACGAAACCTATAGTTACTTCGGTGCTGGATGGGTATAATGTCTGCATATTTGCCTATGGCCAAACTGGAACTGGCAAGACATTTACCATGGAGGGAACACCAGAGAATAGAGGAGTGAACTATAGGACCTTAGAAGAACTATTTCGCTGTTCAGAAAGCAAAAGTCATCTCATGAAGTTTGAGCTATCGGTTAGCATGTTGGAGGTTTATAATGAGAAGATAAGGGACCTCTTGGTAGATAACTCAAATCAGCCCCCAAAAAAGTAGGTCTTCCATTATGTTGTTTGGTAGTAGAATAAAAATCGCCTTACAGTTTCTCTCTTTCTTTTTAATATGCAAAATAACAGTATGTGCTGTGTTGATAAAGGTTGGAGGTTAAGCAATCAGCAGAAGGAACACAAGAAGTCCCAGGATTAGTCGAAGCTCAAGTTTACAATACGAATGGAGTGTGGGATCTGCTCAAGAAAGGATATGCTGTTCGATCTGTGGGTTCAACTGCTGCAAATGAGCAAAGCAGCCGCTCTCATTGGTAAGCAAACTAGAGTTTAGAAACTTAAACCATGTGAAACTATACCTTTTCCATACTTATGCCAACAAGAGATTTCTTTTTGTTCAGCTTGCTGCGAGTGACCGTGAAGGGAGAGAATTTGATAAATGGTCAGAGAACGAGAAGTCATCTTTGGTTAGTGGACTTGGCTGGCAGTGAGCGAGTCGGAAAGGTAGAAGTTGAAGGAGAAAGGCTGAAAGAATCTCAATTTATCAATAAGTCGCTTTCGGCACTCGGTGATGTTATCTCTGCCCTTGCATCCAAAACAAGCCACATTCCTTACAGGTTTTTCCCTTCTCTCTTCTCCTTTGTCAAGACATTTGCATATGATATTTTCTGATTGATGTTCATGACACTTTTTTCCTTCCTTTTGGCCCAACTCCAGAAACTCAAAGCTCACCCATATGCTGCAAAACTCTTTAGGTAAAGTAACATTTGTCCTATTTTTTTCCGTTGTTTTGGGCACATGGTTCATAAGACATCTTGTTTTTCATCACCATGGTGTGTCTATTTCACTTTGACTTCTACAGGTGGAGATTGCAAGACATTAATGTTTGTCCAGATTAGTCCGAGTTCTGCCGATCTAGGAGAGACCCTTTGCTCCTTGAACTTTGCAAGTAGAGTCCGGGGAATCGAAAGTGGACCTGCCCGAAAACAGGCGGATGTGTCTGAACACCTCAAGTCAAAACAAATGGTAACGTGATTACTCAAACTCCAATTCATCTAAGCTTTAACATATCTTACGGTGATTATATTTCTTGTTGTCTCCTTTATAACAGGCCGAGAAGCTGAAACACGAGGAAAAGGAAACAAAAAAGCTCCAGGACAATGTGCAGTCACTACAGCTACGCCTCACTGCTAGAGAACACATATGCAGAGGACTTCAAGATAAGGTAGTCCGCTTTAACTAATGGTAGCTATATGTTATTGTTGACTGTTGTCTTCTTCTAACTTCTAACATTTAAAAACCAAATCATGTTTCAGGTTCGAGATCTGGAGTTTCAACTAGCAGAAGAAAGAAAGACCAGAATCAAGCAGGAGACACGAGCTCTAGCGACTACATCATCATCATCAACAACATCTAGACATCTGAGAGAGACACTACCGACAATCACAGAGAAAAAGCCGCCTTTGGTTCCAACAAGAATGCGAATGCCACTCAGAAGAATCACAAACTTCATGCCCCAACAACCATCTCAGGGCCCTTCTCAGAGATTCTCAGACACAACATTCAAAGAGAATAATAACAGCCTCAGAAGATCATCAATTATGGACGTGAAAACACTAATGAAACCAAGAAGAAGCTCCATCGCATTCAGACCAGCTCCTGCTCCATCAGCCATTGCATCAGGTAATAAAACCATCATGCCCAGAAGGAGGGTCTCAATTGCAACGTTAAGACCAGAACCATCATCATTATCATCTATGACTACTCCATCACGCCCTCCTCCTTCATTCCGTGGTGACCCGAGAAAGGCGAGATACTCTAAGCTCTTCTCTCCAGACCGCAATCTGGTGACTCCGAATGCAATGAAAAGCAGCAGATTCATGAAGAGCCCTCTTGGAGGAGGTGGCAGCTCATGGAAGCCAAGCCATCCCACAGTAATTGCATTGCAGAAGAAGTCGGTGGTGTGGAGTCCTCTTAAGTTCAAGAACAGAAGACCATCCCTCATGGCGATACGATCTTCTGCTTCTTCTTCTTCTTCCGCCTCTGACATGCTTCGGAGGGAACAATAGTGGCCTTCGTCACTGGATTTTTTATTCACTGTCTTTGTGAAAGTGTTTGGTTTTACAGTCAAGTCGTCTGTTAAAACTTCAAAATAGGATTTCTTTTGCTTTTATTTTATCTTCCAACTGTTTTCGATTTGTTATCTCCATTGAGATCTTGTGCTATGGTTATTATATATGTAATGAAATTTAGATCTCGGCTCAAATGCATAGAAACAACAATAAAACAAGAGTGTCGAAACTGTCACTTAAAACATTTTCGACAATGGAGATAACAAATCGAAAACAATTTGAAGATAAGAGAACACCATAGCACAAGATCTCTCTCTATTTCCATTTTGTAGTACAAATGTAATTAACTAATTAAGATCATGGAATCTTTGTGAAAGTTGACAAATGTATGGAAGAACTACAAGAGCAACAATACACAGTAGCAGAAGGAACCAAAGTTGTCTTTAGTGTGAACCTCAGTCCTAGAAGCACCAAAACTTACTTATGACTAGTCTTAAACTCATTAGCAAGAAAAAATACTAATAGAAGATCTCCAGTTGGAAAGTTTCAGTTTCTTCTTAAGGTTCACGTCTCATTCTTTTTTCCTTGTTCCTTAAGCCGTATGAGCTTTGTTTATTTGTAGTATAACTTTGTTGTCTGATGCAGGAAAACTGGAGAAAAATGTCACTCCCAACAACACTACTTGGAGTAGAGAGACGGTAAATGAAACCCTACGGAACCCACAGACGTCACAAGAGAAAATGTAGAAGCCATAGACCCAAAGAACAAATTCCATACTAAAACACATGAGAACAGAATCAGATTCGCCATCTCTGCAAAGAGCTCGTTCTCATATCCACAGAATATAGCAGAGGAAAAAGGTGGGAAAATGGAAATCATAGTAATTTGGTTGTATGTATCTTGGATTTCGATAGAATTTTAATCCATACAGAAGAAGAGCACACATCTGAGTCCGAAATTTCTTTTTTGTTTTGTTTGTTCATTTGATGTTAAAGTGTTGGTGAGTAATTAGGAGAACAGAGAAAACAGGAACAAGATTACAACATCAAGGAGACAAAGTTCTTTTGTTATTGAAAAACTTTCAACACAATTGTCTATTGGCTATGTTCTTTTTTTTTCTTGTCCCTAAATGTTTGTGTTGCTACAGATCTTGAGAACGATAAAGAAACTTCGAACATGAGATTTGCTATCTTCTTTCCTTGTTCATACCTTAAGAGATTGGATTGCTCGGTCTCGATCTTCTCAGGCAGACGAACTCTTTCTTGTGGCATACACACGGTATGCAGCCAGCCCAACAACTACAGCAGCAGCCCCAACTGTTTACAAACCATGAGATAGAAATTAGATAAACTGTTTACATAGCATGAGATTAAAATTAAAGTGTACCCCAACATGGGTCTGGAGCCTTTTTGTTACAGGTTTCCTTTGTTTGGGACAAAACTTTCACGATTCTAGGAAAGAAAACGTACTTGAAACAGCCATAAGAGAGCGGTTGATTAGCCTGTTGTAATGTTTGCGGCTTTTTCCTGCTTCGGTCTCTGGAATGCTCAAATGAGGGTGTTGTGCTGCAGTTAAGATTTTGCGGAATAAGTTGTTGAAATCCCCCAATTTGGAACTGATGGATACTGGAGGCTCTATTCCCATATCTTGTGTCATCTGCAAAAAGATCCGTGTGCATAAACATATATATGTAAGTATTCGAGCTATTTTCATTGACTCAAGAGTTCCAAAAGAACCCTACCCTGGTGGATTCTTGTATGGAAATAGGAGATGAATCAAGATCGTCTTTTGCAGAAACCATGAGGCAAGGGACCTCATACCCAGTGGCCTCACCATAAGTTGCAACTTCTACAAGCAACTGAGTCGCTCTCTTCCATGACGACTCATCAGAACTGGAGAAAACAACAAACTCAATTATTACGTACAAACTACAAATAGAGAGCCAACCAATTAAACAGCAGGAAATATACCTGTCATACACGAAGACAGCTATGTCACATGCAGCCAAGGATTCCTTGGATGAAAATAGCCCTTGAACTCCATCTTCTGGAATTTCCCTCATGATAAGAGTTTTCTTTGCACCCTACACTCAGAGATTTGCAACTATCAGATTAATGACCAAATTACATACAGAAACTTAGAGAAAGCAGCCTTGAAGCATGTTGCCAAATGTACAACCAAATAACATCTCCAATCTCTTGAGTAGTAGTACGTGTGAAAGAGTTTTGTTTGAAACTTCCTAGCAAAAAAGCATGTATGTACCCCATAGAAAAAAAAAACTCAACAAAGATATCTAGCTAGTTCCCATCTCAGTCCCCAAAATAACACTCAAGTTTGTCATTTTTTTTCAAATTTTGCACGTTGAAGATAAAATATATCCAAACTAAAATACATTTATATTTATGCATGCATACAGACATAGTGATATAAATTGCATAAGTATACTGACTCACCCCAGATTCATCGACCATATTTACTGCATAACGCTCATCAGTAGTTGATTCCTGGTTATCAGCATAAGACCTAGATCATGGAGAAACAAAACTGTAAACCAGATGGAGAGGTCATCTGAAAAAAAGGAAAATTAAAGGTCTACATGCTTGTAAACATAAACTATACTCTCTTCTGTGTGTATTTTGAAAATGCAACAAGTTGTGGTACAAGTTAACATGACAAACCTTCCAAGAAAGCAATTCAGCAATGAAGATTTTCCAGCATTATTAGGTCCAAAAACAAAGCACTGGAAAACTTTTCTTTCACATTGCTGCTTTTTGCGATCTAAACGTCTTCTCCTAGTAACACGAATGGCAGTCGATGGATCACCCGGGAATCCAATGTAAATCAAATTTTCCACACTCCGAGCCGGTTCTAATAGTGTCATTAGTGACCACTGCAAGGATAAAATTGATAGATTAGCACACATATAAACTTTGAATTAGTTCAATGAACAAAACTTTGGCCCAGATAAGAAATCCACTCAAAATCACAAAACGACATATAATCCAATGATAAATTGTATATGTTAAAAGAAAATAAAGAGAGAATTGTGTGACATTTTAGTCTGTCAATCAACAAAAGCAAAGAAAAATGAAATAAAGAAGGATGAGTATATGTATAATGCTTCTTTATGTTGTAAAAGAGGAGTATTGATTACCATTGACAGGAACGCGTCAAATGATAGTCCTCCAAGGGCAGTTTTCTCCGCAGCATCCTCATAAGGAGCTTCCTTCCAAGGACTGCCATTCACAATTAAGTATGGCACGGGAAATAATGGAGATTACCATAATCAAAATTACACGGTTTTTGCCTTCTGGAGGTGTAAAAGGTACCTTTCAGGTGCAGTTGAAAAAAGATCCTCGATCTCTTGAGGTCTCAGATTATTATCCTGCAAAGTGCAAATTCAGTCTGAGAAATTTGTTAACTCAACACTACGCCATTAATAAGAAAGGAGCCGTACCTGGTCGTCATCAAACAACATATACATTCCTTTCAGGAATTCGATTGCTGCATTTGTCAACTCAAAACTCTACAAAATCAATGAACACAAACATTAGCTGCACAATACCAAGGAAGGCAAGTTGATGTGAGCTGTAAAATAACCGTGTTCCAGTAAATTCTTATTTCTGATAAGATTCCAAATTTAATATTCGATATACAGCTCTTCCAGTAATAGATTATTAAAACATCAACAAATAATAATGAAGCAACAACGGATAGTATTTCTGCAAATTTACCTGATCGGGAGCTCCCTTGAATATTGTAGATGGTAGCAATTCTTCAGCAAGTCTTATATCATTATTATACCCAAACTTCCTGAGTACAGTCCATGTAGTCTCGAGCCTCCCTTTCTCAATAAAAAGTGCATGTAAAAACAGGAAGCCAGTCACTGTCAATCCTCTTTCATTCACACCTTCTGGCAACTTTTCTTGCACAACCCTCTTAACACCTTCAATTTCAGAAGGCTGCAATGGTGCATGGAAACACTTGACCTATTGTAAAACAACTATTAGGTGCGTCATGGGGATAACAAAATTAAACTCCAAGCTTCTTTTTAAAATCTGAAGGATAGGCCTAAGCCAATTCAATGACGAAATAGCAAAAGCACATGAAACACGAGAAGAGCAAATATAAGAACCTGAAAATCATTTAGCTCAGCCTCGCTAAGAGCACCATCTCTGTCATGATCACAGAGTATAAAGATACGCTTCAATGCCCTTACACACCGGGGCTTCAGTGCCTGGGAATCTTGATCAAACAGAGGTCCTGTTGGGTGAAGGACAGTCTTTTGTGCATAATAGAAAACTTCTTGTGCCTACAGGAAAGCTTTTTCATTAGGATGATAGTTCAGACCTGAAATAAAATTTGTAAGTACCACCAAATGTTGTTTTCTGACTATGCATTTCCAGTTTATGCCTGATAAAAGTCCAAACCAATCACAACAATATCCAGTTTCAGGAAAAAATTTAGTGCATCTAAAGTCCTTGAAATTTCTTAGTAAGACAAGCACATGCCTAAGCTACCTCAGACCAATATTTGTACCATGTTTGAACTCAGAAAAATATTACATATCAAGAGGAAATCAGAAGTCATGAAACCTGGAGTTGCTTGAGGGCAGAACACTCGATACAAGTCTCTATCTCCCGAAACTGCTGCATTATAGGTGACATCACTTGTTCGAGGCTGACCTGGTTATTGTCGTCTCTGAAGTCAAGCCTACACCCTGCTACTATAATAGGAATTTTTACCTGCTCAAAACGAGCACAAGCCAATCTTAATAAGAAACAGTAAAAGTTTAAGTCACACCAAATCTTTTACACTTTCTAGCACTAGGACAATGATATGAGAAACGGACAAGATATTGTACACCTTCTACCCACAAAAAGATTGACATGACCAAACTGAAACAGGGAGAGGAAAATCAAACCTCCAATCGCCGAAGCTCTGGAAGCCAGTATTCACTCAAACGTTCGAGAGTCTCAGGTCGATCACAGGCATATGTCAAAACTACTGCATCTGCGTGCTTCAATTCCTCGGCAACCATGTCCCTATCTTCTGGCCTGAACCCACAAACAAAAACATCATACTTCAAGAACCTCAACAAAGCTGCCAAAGCATAAATATCCTAAACCCTTCTTTCGGAATCCCACAAACAGTAACTAAACAGTTGGCACAGTGCTATCCCAACAACAACTATCATATGAGCTAATAGCCTAATAGTATCCTTTCCCGTTCAACATAAGGTCATTATCAAGCAATACCTCGAGGAAGTGTCGACAATGGTGACGGGTATACCATCAGGGAAGAATTCAACAGGCAACTTGTAATCAGGCAAAACAGGAGGGACATTGGGAGGGAAAGAATCAGTAGCTGCAGCGACAATCAAGCTTGATTTTCCAGTACCCTTATCACCAACCACAACGATTCGTACAGATTTGGGTGAACCAGGACAATCAACCGTACCAGCAGCGTATCTCGCCATCTGAAACTACAACACCATTAAAACAATTAGAGGCTCGACATCAGAAATCAAGTACAAAGATTGCTGAAACTTGGTAACAAGATTATAGAAACCCAGAAACATGAGCATCAAAAGAGAACAAGATCGTGAAGAATATGACGAATCCAGAAGCATAGATAACAATGGAAGGAGTAAGATCAACGAGAAGCAAAACTAACCTAAAGATCAAAAGATTCGATGAAAGAAACGAGAGATAAACCTCAAACCTAAAACTGGAGAGTGAGAGAAGAAGATAAGCACGAAGATTAAAAACCCTTAGAAAACCCTAGATTCTCTTGTTTGGGAGAAAATGTGGCGGTGACGATTTGCCGTGAAGGAGGAGAAAAATTAGTAAGCTCTTTTTTTTTTTTTTTTTACTTTGTCTGTGTTTATTCTAGTGGCATTTCCGTAAAACTCAGCCCTGTTTAATTTTCACTAACATATAAGATAAGGTAATTTTTTTGTAAAAAGAATTTTTGTTTTCATCATTTAGTAAAATTGTTGTATTTGACCATTTACTTCTTGAGTTTTTTTTCATGATTGGTTAATTACGTACCGCCGTGCAGCCAAATGTACGGTTGTACCTAATCGGATCGATTATAGGTATAAGTAAGTTATTTTATTGGATTTTGTATATGTTCACATGTGGATATCGTTTGGAATATACTTATAAGGTAGTTTTTTTGTAAAAGGAATTTTTGTTTTTATTATTTAGTAAAATTGTTGTATTTGACCATTTACTTCTTGGGTTTTTTTTTACGATTGGTTAATTAGGCACTGCCGTACAGCCAAATACGATTTGTTAATTAGGTATTGCCGTACAGTTAAATGTACGGATGTACCTAATCGGATCTATTATGGGTATAATTAAATTATTTTATTAGATTTTGTAAATGTCCATATGTGGGAATCGTTTGGAATATAACCATATAACTTAAATCTCTAAAAAATATATATAAATATTTTGGATATCAAGTATAATCAGGTACAAAATACACGAACCGTGGAATATGTATTTTTCAAGAATTTATTTAACTATTTTTCGTCCTTAAACTGATGGTCAAAATAAGGTAGTGAATAGTTGTCAACGTTGTTGCGTGCTATAATTTTTAAATCAGAACTTGAGAAGATTATTTGCCAACTAAAATCAATATAAACCTAAATCTCTCGTAAAATGCATCATCTGTTACAAAAGTCAGAAAAATACAGCGTCAACAATAGACGCTACGCGTGCAAAAGATTAAGAGTAAAATATAATTTGTGTGGAGCCCACCGTCACTATGCATGCATAGTAACTTACTTTTTCCTGCCTATATAAACGAACGAATTCGTTCGTTGTAAATCACAATTCATACTTCAACAATAAGAAGTTATACGAAATCTCTCTCCTTCTCTCGTCTCTTTATTTTCAGTATCCCGATCCTTCTGCGGGTATAAATTCTTTCTCCATTATTTATATTTATATACACCATAAAATAAAGTAATTATTTATAACACGTTATCAGCACGATCACTCTATGATCGCTGAAAAAAAAAATATACGGTATTATACCGGGCGGTATGTCGCCGCGTTAAAAGAAAAAAATTATGAGAAAAAAAAAAAAAAAAGAGAAAAAGAGAAAAGAAAATTATATAAATAAATAAAAGAAACTATATATGTATATATATATATATATTACTTCATGCACCATAATTAATTATTTTCTGTTAATGGTTGGCTGAGCCACCTGAAATTTTATTCACTGCTTTAAATATTTATTTGTGCTACCGGTCGGCTGAGCCGCCTTAATTTTATGCGCTGCTTTAAATATTTATTTCTGCTACCGGTCGGCTGAGCCGCCACATATTTATTTAATGTTTCTATGTGGATGACTCCGTGACCATAATATCACCGTGAATTGTTTGTTTATATTATGATTATTATACAAGAAGGTTTATTCACCTGTATAAATATTTTTATCTGAATCGATAATTTTTATCTGATTGATCTCTAATTTTTCAGATTAATTTTTGTTTAAATCTTTTTCGCCAACGGTCATAAAGAAAAATTTATCACTTTTCAAACGGCTATGAACAGTAATTTTCAATCTATAAATACATTCATTTTCTCATTCATTTCATCAAAACAAAATTTTTCATCCCTCTAAAAACTCTCTCCGAAAAAAAGAAGAAGAATTTTGAAGTTTTGAAGTTTTGAAGAATGTTTCGGTTACTTTTAATATTTGTTTTTGGAATCATTATTTTGTGTATTTATAATCTTTGCGTTGTAGAATTTACTCCGCAAGAATTTCGTTTGAACATTAGTTTACTTATTTGTGCGCTTTTTCTTTTTGTAATCGCTTGCATTATTAATGTAAACGGTTCATTTTAAATATGTTTTAAAATAAATTAAAAGATTTCTAATAATATTCCATGTTTTTATTTTAGAAACGAAATGACAAATATTGAGAAGCTTAAGTTTTCGGCTCTGCACATCACTTTGGCCAATTATATATTTTTTGAATTGCCAACGTCGAATTACATTTACAATCTCTTGGCTTAATAAAAACCGTAAAAGAGAATAATATTTCGACGGTTCAAGAAAGGGAAAAATTGGTGATCTTTAATTTAAGACACCTTGATGAAAGTATGATATGTGATTATGCACACATATAAGATCCCAAAGAGATCTAGGAATCCCTAAAGGCTCGATTTGATAATCGAAAGGCAATAAATCTCCCACTTGCTTGGGATGAATGGCAAAGTCTAAAGTTCAAAAACTTTGATAAAGTGATGGATTATAATTCCGCTATGATGGAAATTGTGGTTAAACTAAAATATTATGGTGATATTATCACTGATTCTCAGATGCTTGAGAAAACGTATACCACGTTTCATGAAAACCACATTACCCAGCAAAAACTGTATATGTCATACGGGTATACCGAATTTTCGGATTTATTTGTGGCACTCCTAATAGCGGAAAAGATTAATGAGACCGCTCATGCGGTTAACTAAAGAGCTTGTATTGAGACTGCTGAAATAGTCTCTAGTTATGCCATATATGTATAATATTATGCTTTTATTATTTTGAAAAATAATGTTGTTTTAACAACAATTTAATGTATAATTATTGTGTGTTTTCCTTTTATAAAATTTACTTTCTTTATGTTTATCTTAATCACAGAAATGGATGAAACAATCTCCAAGGAAATGGCTCAAGAAATTTGTATACCAGATAGTGGAACAACACACACTATTCTGAAGGACAAAAGATATTTCTCTAACTTAAAACCGACAAACGTTATTGTCAATACAATATCAGGTCCTGTAGACGTGATTGAAGGAACTGGTATGGCCAACTTTATGTTGCCTAATGGAACCAAGTTTTCCATAAAAAATGCCTTGTATTCTCCAAACTCTAAAAGGAATTTGTTGAGTTTCAAAGACATATACCTTCAAGGATATGATACTCAGTCTGCAACTGAGAATGAAAAGAAGTATATGTACATAACTTCTGATAAATCGGGAAAAAGGCTTATATTGGAAAAATTTCCAAAACTTCCTTCAGGATTGCATTATACTCATATAAGTGCAATCGAATCGCATCTAGTGATTAAAAGAAATCCAGAAGATTTCACATTATGGCATGATCGCCTCGGTCATCCAGGCACCTCGATGATGCGAAAAATCATAGAGAGCTCACATGGACACCCATTGAAAATCCAGGAGATATATCATGGGAATAAAAAGACATGTGCCGCATGTTCTCTTGGAAAACTGATCATAAGGCCATCGCCAACCAAAATTGATAAAGAATCACCAAAATTCCTTGAACGAATTCAAGGAGATATTTGTGGACCAATACATCCACCATGTGGACCATTCCACTATTTCATGGTATTAATTGACGCATCCAGCAGATGGTCACATGTTTGTCTATTATCATCTCGAAATATGGCATTTGCGAGATTTCTAACTCAAATAATCAAACTGAGGGCTCAGTTTTCTGATTACCCTATTAAAAGAGTTAGACTAGACAACGCTGGTGAATTCACATCCCAAGCATTCAATGATTATTGTATGGTAACGGGAATTGAAGTTGAACATCCTGTAGCTCATGTTCATACACAAAATGGCTTGGCGGAATCATTAATTAAACGTCTGCAATTGATTGCAAGACCATTGATCATGAGATCAAAACTTCCAACCTCTGTATGGGGACATGCCATTTTGCATGCAGAAGCACTCATTCGGATAAGACCAAGTGCATATCATAAATATTCCCCATTACAACTAGTATTTGGTCGTGAACCAAATATATCCCATCTAAGAATTTTTGGTTGTGCAGTGTATGTGCCTATAGCACCACCACAACGTACAAAGATGGGACCACAAAGAAGGTTGGGAATATATATTGGCTGTGACTCTCCATCAATTATAAGATACCTAGAACCGCAGACTGGTGATGTTTTTACGGCACGTTTTGCCGATTGTCACTTTGATGAGAAAGTATTCCCGGTTCTAGGGGGAGAAAATAAGCAAGTAGGAAAAGAAATTAAATGGTGTGTACCATCCCTGTTACACCTTGATCCTCCTACAAAACAGTCAGAAATAGAAGTTCGACGAATTGTGCATTTGCAAAGTATAGCAAATCAACTTCCCGATGCTTTTGCAGATACCAAAACGGTAACTAAATCATATATACCAGCTGCAAATGTTCCTGCTCGAATTGAAATACCACAAGAAAGTGGAAGAGCAGATGATACACGTGAGTCTAAAACACGCTTGAAACGTGGTAGACCAGTTGGTGCTAAGGATAAAAATCCTAGAAAACGAAAGGAAGTTGAAAAGCATGATATTCCCAAAATAGCAGAAAGCATTTTGGAAGAAACGAATCATGAGTCTAATGACAATGATGAGCATCATGAGCCTGAAGGAAATCATGAGATTTCTATCAACTATATCCATAATGGAAAGATCTGGGATCGAAATAAAATGGATGAAGTTAATGACGCTTTCTCATACCTTTTGTCAAAGGAAATTGATGAAGAAAACGAGGATCCAGAACCAAAGTCGGTATATGAATGTCAAAAGAGACATGACTGGATAAAATGGAAAGATGCAATACAAGTCGAACTTGATTCGCTCAATAAGCGAAATGTATTCGGACCTATTGTACTCACACCTGAAGATGTGAGACCGGTTGGATACAAATGGGTTTTCGTTAGAAAACGAAATGAGGAAAATGAAATTACGAGATACAAGGCTCGTCTCGTAGCTCAAGGTTTTTCTCAAAGACCCGGGATTGATTATGAGGAA